TATTTATTTGGTTAAGAAACTCTTGTATACTACAGTTACATTTGAACCACCTCACCCGAAACGGGAAATCCCTCAATGTGCAAACTGCCAACAGTATGGGCACACAAAAGGATACTGTCACCGCAAACCTAAATGCGTCAAGTGCGCTGGAAATCATGCTTCTGTAAATTGCGAAAGGAAAAGCAGATCCAATGATGTCAAATGTGTTCTATGTGAAGGAAATCATCCGGCCAACTACAAAGGATGTCAAATATACAAAAACCTGCAAAAAAAATGTATCCCCAACTAAGACCTAGGGCGCCGGAAGTACAAATTCAAGAAAATCCTCTTCCTTCGCTAAACAAAAAACACATCACGACTTCTCATTCACCTGAAACATTCGCACAAATAGTGAAGTCAAACACCAGTAGCGAAACAGAGGAGAAGCTTTCACCAATTCCAAATAATTTTGTGGAAGAATTCCGTGAGATGACATCACTGTTGAAGCAAATGATGCAACAAATCGTAGTAATGACAAATTTACTGATCAACTTGACGACTAAACAAAATTCTTGATTTAGTAGTAGTCATATGGAACGCTAATGGTCTATCAAAACATGCTATCGAAATAAAAGCATTTTTAAAATTAAACCAGGTCGACATAATGCTAGTATCAGAAACCCATTTCACGACGCGTAGTTTCTTTAAAATTCCGAACTACGAACTTTATCACACAATGCATCCCAGTGGTAAAGGAAATGGTGGCTCTGCGGTTCTCATAAGGAACTCGATAAAACATTATGAAGCAAAACCATATTGCAAGAATGAAATCCAGGCAACAAACATTGTAGTACAAACTAAAGAAGGCGACATGACTTTCTCATCACTCTACAGCCCACCGCGCCACAGTATCACGAAAGATATGTACATATCATTTTTTTCAGCTGCTTGGATCTAGGTTCCTAGTAGGCGGAGATTTTAATGCTAAACACTTAAAATGGGGTTCCCGCCTAATATCTCCAAAAGGACGTCAACTCTTCGAAGCAATAAATGTACTCAACCTCCACACAATCTCAACAGGTGAACCCACATATTGGCCAACAGATAGAAGAAAAATACCTGACTTAATTGATTTTGCGGTATCAAAGGGGGTACGTATTGAAACAACTACCTGTAAGTCCAATTTCGACTTGTCATCTGACCACTCGCCAATAATAATCACTCTCAATGACTGCTGTGAAATTATGGAAAAATGTATTCTTCATAATAAAAACACTGACTGGAATAGTTACCGTCAACTAATTTCAATTGGTCTAAATACCGAAGTCAGGTTAAAAACTGAATCTGACGTAACTGAAGCAGTAGAGCATTTCAACTCTTGTGTCCAAATGTCTGCATGGGAATCAACTCCACCAATTTCTAAAAGTGTTAAGCTAGATTATCCATTTAACATTAGATACCTGATTAAAGAAAAGCGTAGGATGAGAAAACATTGGCAACAGTCGAGATTCCCTGCGGATAAAACTCGCTTAAACAAACTGTGTAAACTCGTTAAAGCCCTTCTTTTAAAGTATAACAATAATCGCACGTCGCTATACCTTCAAAACCTAAGTGCTTCATGTGATACAAAATATTCCCTTTGGAAAGCCATAAAAAAGAACAACAGACCGATTGTCTATCCACCACCTATACGCAAAATCGACAACTCATGGGCAAAAAGCGATATTGAAAAAGCAGAAACATTTGCGTTACATTTGGACCAGGTCTTTAAATCAAATGATAACCAAAATATGCCTAATGTCATGAATCAAAGGATTAATTTTCTACAAGAGCCTTATCAATTGGAACTTCCAATTAAAAGATATACTATTAATGAAGTTAGAGATGTAATAACAAAGTTAAAAGTAAAAAAAGCTCCAGGATACGATTTAATCACAGGCATGGCCTTGCAGCAGCTCCCACCAAAAGGATTTGTATTTCTCACTCATCTATTTAACGCTGTGATAATAAGGGGGTTTATTCCGCCACAGTGGAAGATAGCACAAATCTCCATAATACCGAAACCAGGGAAAAGCCCAGAAGACGTCAAATCATATCGGCCAATAAGTCTACTTCCGATCCTGTCAAAAGTTATGGAAATCCTGTTTCTAAAGCGCCTTACTCCGTTTATCCAACAAAACAGACTCATACCTGACCATCAATTCGGCTTTCGCCAAAAACATAGCACAATAGAACAAATTCACAGACTTGTCAGACATATCCATAGTGCGATAGATGGTAAAAAATATTGCACTGCGGCATTTATAGATATTTCACAAGCGTTTGATCGAGTATGGCATGAGGGCCTCCTGTTCAAACTAAAACTGTATCTACCTCTAAATTTTTTCATATTTATAAAATCATACCTCTCGGCTAGGCACTTTTTCGTTAAGCATGGAAACGAAACTACAGTACTTCATGTTATAGAAGCAGGAGTACCTCAAGGTAGCATAATGGGACCAATGCTTTATCTTTTATTTACTGCGGATCTTCCCCTTACCGATGAGAGTGTTATCGGTACATTTGCAGACGACACAGCTATTTTATCAGTTGACAGTGACCCAATCAGTGCTTCCACCAAACTTCAAACCTGCCTTGATAATGTTGCTCTCTGGATGATAAACTGGCGTATTAAACCGAATGAATCAAAATCTGTCCAGGTAACATTCACTACAAAACGTTCTACGTGCCCGCCGGTCTTAATTAACAATACTCAATTACCACAAGCTGTAGAAACAAAATACTTGGGCATACATCTGGATAGTAAGCTAACCTGGAAATCGCACATATTCAAAAAGCGTAAAGCCTTGGGTCTTAAATTACGAAACTTATTTTGGTTCCTCAGCCGAAATTCCAAACTGTCACTCGACAATAAGCTGCTTATATACAAATCTGTACTTAAACCTATGTGGAGTTATGGGGCCCAATTATGGGGTACAGCAGCAGACTCAAACCTGGCAATTATACAGCGCTTCCAATCTAAAACACTACGAATGATCACAAACGCACCTTGGTATATAACGAATGAACAGCTACATAAACAATTACATGTTCGAACAATCAAGGAAGAAATAGCAAGTATTTTAAAGAATTACGCTCAACGCTTATATATGCACCCAAACCCTCTGGTTACTCAACTGATGTCCCCTTCCAATACCTTTACAAGGCTGA